TTCACTCCCCCAAATGGCCTCAGCGGCCAGAGCTATGTTGATCTGAAGCCAGGAGCCAGGAGCTTCTTCTGGGTCTCCCACACAGGTGCAGGGCCCCAAGGACTTGGGCCATCTTCCACTGCTTTCCCAGGCCATAGCAGAGAGCTGGATCAGAAGTGGAGCAGCTGAGATTCAAACCAGCGCCCATATGGGATGCCGGCACTACAGGCAGTGGCTTTACCCACTACACCATGGCGCTGGCACCTGGCATCCTTAACTCCCACCAGCTCTTGTCTGGGATTTACCAGCGAGATGCCAGAGCCCAGAACTATGCCACAGAAAACTGACAGCTCATGACAGAACAGAGACAGAGAACTGCGCCCACAGAGCTCAGCACCCCACAGCCAGCCTCCTGTCCCACGCACTGGCACACATGCCACACACATGCTATATACATGCTACATACACCACGCAAGCCATACGTGCCACAATGTCATATACATGCTACATATACCACACAAGCCACATGTGTCACACATGCCATATACATGCTACACACTATACATGCCACACTGTTACATATTCGCCACATATGGCACACATATGCCACACTCCACACACACTATGTGCTCACCACACACATGCTACATATACCATATACAAGTCACATGCTCACTCCACATTACACACAACACACACCACAAACACCAGACACACCACAATGCCACACTGCACACATGCCACGCACACCAGACACACCACAAGTACCATACATATGCTATATGCACCATATTCAAGCCACATGCCACACTCCACAATTACATATAACACACATATGCCACGCACACAACATACACCACGACCCCACATATGCCATATATGCCACACACACCACACACATGCTGCATGCGTCATATACACCACACATGCCGCATGCCACACACGCGTGTGTGAGCCCTGCGCAGCCGCACCTCTTCTCACCCGTGCAGTGCTGAGGGCGGAGGTCTCCCTGCGGGATGACACCCACGGAGCGCGGCACGGGGCAGTTCCCACACACCTGAATAACACCAGAGAGCCGACCGGAGAGGATCCACCCGCCAGAGACACTCGCCAGAAATCCCAGTCCACGAGCGTTTTCGGCCTGACCACGTAGGTATCGCAGGGCCGTCCCTGCACTGTCTAAGCTCCGGCTTCAACCAGACACGCCCTCCCCTCAGCTGCGGATCTGAAGCCCTGCTTCCCAAACACACACCTCATTCAAACGGGTCACTCCCCGCGCAGCTCTCCGAGAGGCAGACACACGGTCCCCAAGACGCGTACTACATACACCATACACACCACATGCCACAGTGCGCTGCAGCGAGCCGCAGGGACAGAGCCGCACGCCCTCTCTCACCACGAGGCAGGTGCACCGTGGCACACGGGGAAGCTGGGGAGAGGGCACCAAGACACAGGGCCACCGTCCACCTGCACTGGACTGGTCTCAGCCAGTGATCACCACCAGCAGGGGGCACAGCCGTGATCTCTAGGAGGGTCCTGTGGGCACAGCCACCTCTTGCGGTTCCCAGGGGAGACCTCCCGCCTCCAGGCCCAGCCCGGGACCTGCTGTGGGGCTGGCACTGGGGCAGGGCACTCCTAAGAAGGGGCTGCACAGAGGCCAGGCCCACAGGAGGGAGCGGCCCGACTACAAGGATACAGAGTTCCAGGCTCCGCGCCTCTGACCTGCCGCCCCCTCCTGTCGGCACTGACACTGGAGCCCCTCTTTGGAGTGATCCTGAAAATATGTCCCAGACGCACACCTCACGGGGTCGCGAGACGCGGCCAAGCACCCAGCTCACGGGAGTCCAGAGCTGAGGAACCAGCCGGCTGCTGAATCCATCAGGTGGGAAAACGGGATATCAATTTAGAAATAATTTTAAAGCTCCTCCCAGAACACACAGAGAAACGCAAGCTGGAAGATCAGAGTAAGGAATGTCTTCCTAAGAGGCGTGTGACATCCAAACACAAAAAAAAGCAAAAAGTAGAACTGAAAAGCCATAAAGGAAAAAACGGACAAGTCGGATACTTCAGAACTTCTACAATAAAAGGCTTCCTGAGGCGAGCAGAAACAGATAAAGCATCTGAAACGTACGCACTGAGATTCAGACCCACAGTACACAAGAGTTCCGCGCGTTAAGAAAAGGACAAACAACACATTAGGAAAACGTGCAAAACCCATGAACAAGCAAACGCGAAAAACACAAATGCCCCACAAACGTGAACACCTGCTCACTCACAACAACTCAGAACAGAAACTGAAGTAGCAAACACGCGGCAGTGGGTAATTCATGGCATGAAGGAGGGCTGGCGTTGGGTGCAGCCTGCGCCGTCAGCACCCCTGTGAGCACCAGTTCAGGTCCTGGCTGCTCTGCTTGTGAGCACCTCCCTGCTAACACCCGGGAAAGCAGCAGACGGCCCTGCCACCCACGTGGGAGGCCCAGGGGATTCCTGGCTCCGCCACAGCAAGCGCTGGGGGAGTGAGCCATGATGGAGGAGCACTCTCTCTGTGTGTCTCTTCCTCTCTCTGTAACTGCCTTTCAAGTGAATCAATCAGTCTTTAAGAAATAAAAACAAATGCGCCAAGGCGGACTGCTGTCGAGGCCACTCCGGGTCAGCTCTCGGGGCTCTTCACTCCCGCTCGTGCACGGTCCCTCCTGCGTGTCGGGTTTCGGAGCAACGTCTGCGCAGGGTGTGCTATCCCCACGGGAACGGCCCACACTTCCTGCTTCTGCTCGGCTTCCCAAGCTCCCTAGCGAGTACCCTGCAGCTGCTTTCCTCACACCTGAGGCTCGGGCCTCCCGCTCACTCCCCGGTGACACACCCCACTGCATTTCAGGGCTCCCCAGCACCTCTCCGACCCGGGTCTCATGCCCTGGCTTTAACCTCATGGCCGTGCCCTGCCACCCTCCGTTATTTCTGAAAAAGTAATACCCTGTGACGCTTCTTAAAATGAAACATTTCAGAGCAGGCTTTGGGTCCTGCGGCTCCGACACACCCCACACTGGAGTGCCCGGGTTCACGGCCCCAGCTCCACTCAGGATTGCGACTTCCTGCTGCTGCGCACTCTGGGAGGCAACGGGTGCTGGCTCAGGTCCTTGGGTCCTTGTCACCCAAGTGGCACACCGGATAGGAAACCTGCCCATCATTCCAATATCAAAAACGTTCTCCAGCTGCCCAGAACAACGCGGGAACCCTCCGGACGGCACTGGTGTTGGAGCCAGGGCTGGGTCACCGCACACGGGAACCACCTCATTCGAGGACTTGGAAGGCAGCCGCCACTCTCGTGGGTTTCGGACACGTGTGACTTCCCCCAGGGAGCCGGCCCATCGAGGGGCTGCGGGTCATCACCTCAGGTGCTGCGTTTCAACAGCCAAGTAGTTACTAAGTGGGCACAGCAATCGCATCAGACGCGGAATGAGCAAATCACGGCCGCGGTCGTTCCCGAGGTGAGAGGCGAGTGGCGCTCAGTGCTGGCGGCTCGCTAGCCCACACGTCTCACTCATCTACGGAAACAACTTCCTGCAGACCAGCGGCTGTCTCCATAGATGAACCAGGGGGTGAGGCCTCCATCAAACGGCTGTGGCCACCTTAACTCAGGCAAAACGTCTCTAGCGCAGGGCCGGCGCTGTGGCGCAGCAGGTTAAGCCGCCGCCTTGGAAGCCAGCATCCTGTACGGGTGCAGGTTCAAGTACCGGCTGCTCCACTTCCGATCCGGCTCTCGCGAAAGTGCCTGCAAAGGCAGCAGCTGCTGGCCCGGCGCCACCCACACGGGCGACCGGATGCAGCTCCAGCTCCGAGTCCCAGACCAGGAGCCAGTCGATGCAAGACCTCTGTCTCTCCCTCTGTCACTCAGAGCATCTTTCAAATAAAACCATAAATCCTGAACAATAAAATTCCTTGACTGTGGAGACAAATGTTCCTAGCTTTTTTGTTTTTTCAATTCTAAGTAGAAAGCAGATCTAAAACTACAACCCACATGAATACGTAAACGTACATGCAAACGCTCTCCTGTCAGAACCCCCGGAAGAGCCGCCTTGAAACACCAGCCCCAGGTTGGGTCCGGCTCTGCCGCTGGCCTGCCGAGGGGGCGGCCCTCGGCTAGCACCGTTCACCGTCAGAGTGAATTCTACCCCAAGACAGGGCAGCGTCTCTGAGGAACCCAGCACCAACCTCTGCTTCACCAGCCTCCTCCCTGCAGACGCCACCGGCCCCGCCCGGGGGCTCTGATCTCTATCTTTCTAGAACTTTCCGTGCAAAGCAACACCTGCTAGCTGGCTCGCAGGAGAAGGGAGGGGCACGCGCGGCTTCGTGGAGAACGTTAAAAGCTCCTTAACTGAAACCTCGCCTTCCGTGTACAACAGTCCCCACAGCAAAAGAATGGAGAACTATCAAAGCATTTAAAATCGTAAAAAGCAGGAAAATCTGTCAACAGAGGGGGCCAAGCTGTTTAAAATTCTGCTGGCTGCTACCTGGACGTCATCCGCCCTGTCAGCCGTCTCTACACGCACAGGACCACCTGAGTTCAGGAGTCAGCACCGCTGCACAGTGACGGGCGTTACTCCACCCAGCCGGTTGGCCTGTGTGCACGGGGGCACGCGTGTCTGCTCGTGTGCCTGTGTGCACGGGGGCACGCGTGTCTGCTCGTGTGCCTGTGTGCACGGGGGCACGCGTGTCTGCTCGTGTGCCTGTGTGCACGGGGGCACGCGTGTCTGCTCGTGTGCCTGTGTGCACGGGGGCACGCGTGTCTGCTCGTGTGCCTGTGTGCACGGGGGCACGCGTGTCTGCTCGTGTGCCTGTGTGCACGGGGGCACGCGTGTCTGCTCGTGTGCCTGTGTGCACGGGGGCACGCGTGTCTGCTCGTGTGCCTGTGTGCACGGGGGCACGCGTGTCTGCTCGTGTGCCTGTGTGCACGGGGGCACGCGTGTCTGCTCGTGTGCCTGTGTGCACGGGGGCACGCGTTGCCTGTGTCCCCGTGCACACACGTGTGTCTGCTCGTGCGCGCTGTACATGCACGAGTGTGTCCATCATGCATGCCCATGTGTGTGCATGACCAGGTGTCTGGCCTATCTGCACACCTATGTCTGTGGCGTGTGCAGCCGTCGTGTGTACGTGAATGCATAACGTGCTTGTGCATGGTGTGTGCATGCATGTGTGTCACGTGCATGCCCGTGTGTGGTGCACGTGCATCCTTCTCTGTGCGTGTGTCCCCTGCTGAGCACACCTGAGCGGCCCACTGCGGTGCCCTTGCTTACAAGTTCCTAATGCCCGTGGAGACACCATCAGCTTGAGGTCAAAGGTGTTCACTGATGCAAATACATACGGGTAACTAGCAAAAAGGAATGGCCAGTGGCTCTGACAGGTGCCTGTGTCTGCACCCGCCAGCCCGGGCTCCAGACACACCCCAGCTTCAGGACACCCGGACGTGGGGCCACCTGGGCACAGGGCCAGCCACGGGGGCCTGGGAACAAGGTTGCTCAGGTGGAATCCCCGGGTGACCTGGACCGCGGCCACCCAAGTACGCGCGCTCACCTGGTGCCGGTTCGGGGGCGGCCTCCTCGCTGCTGTCATCGCCGGCCTCGTCCGCCAACCCAGAGCCTGGGGAGTCGGCGGTGGCACAGGCTGAGGCCGGGCTGCTGGGCTGGGAAGCCGAGTCCCCCTCGCTGAGGGAGCCGCAGCGGGCGCGCACGGCCCGGTCGCCGTCCCTGTCTCGGCGAGCGCGGCGGTGCACACGGGAGTGCAGCACCATCTGGTGGTAGGTGCGGAAGATCTTGCCGCACTCGAAGCACTCAGAGGACTTGCCCTGGCCAGCGGCGGCCGCGGCCCGGCGGCTGGGGCGTACGGCGGGCCGCGGGTCAAGGTGGCCCGGCAACATGGGGTCACTGGGCAGGCTGGCCCTCTTCCTGGGGGGACCCTGGGCAGCCGGCGCGTCCTGCTCACGCTTGCGCTTCTCCTGGCTCACCAGGATGTACTCGCGCCTGTCCTTGTCGAAGGCCACGTCCCCAGCCAGCGCCTCGTCCCAGGCCCCATACTTGAGGTACTCGGCGGGCTCGGCCACCTTGCCCCTGGTGGCCAGCTGCCAGGCCTGGTAACTGTTGACGGGGTCCAACTCGGCCACCCGCCGTCCAGCCGGCCCGCCGGGGAGCTTGTCGCTGGCCGCCGAGGGCCTCAGACTCAGGCACTGTAGGAAAAACTGCTTGGTGTCCGTGGGGCCCTCGGAGGCCCCGTCCTCGGCCGGGGCCCGCGTCCGGCTGGCTTCGACCCGGCGGTGGATGGCGTTGTGGGCATTCAAGCTGTCCAGGTTTGTAAACAGGTTTCCGCACTTGGCGCACACCTCGTAGAGGGACAGGCCGGCGACAACGACCTCCTCCTGCACCACGTTGTTGATGGTGGCGACGGGGTCCAGCTCGCCGCGGGGCCGGTTCTTGCTCCCAGGTTTGGGCCCGTGTGCCTTCATGTGGTTCTTGAGGAACCACGGCTCCTTGAACCTCCGGCCGCAGATGTGGCAGCCGTGGTCGAAGGAGCCGCGGTGCTTCTTCATGTGCGCCTTGAGGAACCAGGTCTGGCTGAAGGCCTGGCCGCACACCTCGCAGGGGAACTCCCCCGGGCCCAGCTCGGGCTTGCCGTTCTCCATGGAGACCCCCACGCCGTTGGGCACCTGCACGGTGATGTGGTCCCGCTCGACGTGGCTGAGCAGCGACTCCTCCCGCAGCGTCACGAAGCTGCACAGCCGGCACTTGAAGGGCTTGTGGGCCTGGTGCACGTGCAGCTCCAGGTCCTTCTTCCGCTCGAACTGGGTCCTGCAGAAGGAGCACTGGGCGGCGGGCTGGGCCTCCTCCGGGGCGCCCGCGGCGCCCTCGGCCTCCCTGCGGCTGCTGCGCAGCAGGATCCGGCCGCCGTCCCCGGGCGCGGCCCCGTTCAGCACCCCGTTGCAGGCCGACGTGCTCTTGGTGGGGCTGGCGCACCCGTCCAGGCCCTCGGCCGCACGCGGCTCACCCGGCGGGGCCTCCCCGGCCTCGGGCTCGTGGCCCTGGATCAGCGTCCCCGTGCGGTGGCCGCGGATGTGGACCTTCAGGCTGCCCTTCTGCGAGGCCCTGTGGTCACAGTAGGGGCACTTGTAGGGCTTCTCCCCGGTGTGCTTGCGCATGTGCTGCGACAGCGAGCTCTGGAAGGCGAAGCTCTTGCCACAGAGGCAGCAGCTGTGGCACGCGGCCTTGTCCCCGTCCCCCTCGCGGCTCCGGCTGGCCCTGGGGGGGCTGGGGCCGCCCCTTGGCTCCGGCTCGGCCTCTCTATTTCGATCCATGGGGACGAGGGCGTGGGTGCGGCACGGGGTTCCGGCGTCTTATCTCTCCATCCTCAGAGCGGCGTCTGGATTCCCGGGATGAGGCGGGAACCCGCAATGGGAAGGGACATATTCCACGCGGGGCACACGGCACGCGGCAGCCAGCACCTGGAACGGAGAGGGGAGATGTCACTCGCAAGGCTCCCCACGCGGCAGGCAGACTGCACCAGGCAAACATCATCCACCCCACAGCCAGAGAACTAGTGCCTGGCCACCGCCGAACTGTGCGCCAGGTGATTAAAACTAGTGCCTGGAGCGGAACATGGACCAAAACCATCTATTTTTTCCCACAACAGCACATTTGTAAGGAAAGACCGTGGCAACAGCCTGCAGGAGCCCGGGAGGGAGCTGGGAGGAGGCCGAGGCCGCGAGCCGAGGGACGTGCAGCCACGCTGACGCGCCAAGGCGGGCCGTCCCAAGAGAGAGACCGGGGATCCAACCAGGAACAGAGGAGGCGCAAACACGCCCGGGGCTCCGGAAGAGGGCCGGGCCGCTGCCCAGCCTCACGTTCCCACCTGTGTGGCCAGAGGTCAGCCAGCCAACTGGACAAGCTCCCCGGCCTGGCTCACGCGCCCTCTCCCTCCGGGCCCAGCCCTGTTCTCTCCCAAACGCTCGGACGACAGGACTCAGACCCAACTCTGATGTGAAGTCCGCCCCAGACCCCATGGGGCTCTGTGTGATCTGCCCATCCTCCTTGTCCACAGGCCAGATGCCCACAGTGCCTGCCCAGAGAGGACGGGACCACCTCGAGAGGGGCTGTCCCAGCCCCGGGGGCACCAGCATCGGTCACACCGTATGGTCACTGCCTCTTCAGGCCCATTCACTAAGCCCCTCCTACCAGGTGCACAGGCAGAGGCCAGCCCTACTAAGGTGGTCTGTGTCAGGGACACGACAAGTGACAGCAAGGGACACACATCTCTGAGCACAGGGACAGGACAGGGGACAGCAGGGGACGCACGTCTGTGAGCACAGGGACAGGACAGGGGACAGCAGGGGATGCACACCTACTGTGAGCACAGGGACAGGACAGTGGACAGCAGGGGACACACATCTACTGTGAGCACAGGGACAGCAGGGGACACACGTCTGTGAGCACAGGGACAGGACAGGGGACAGCAGGGGACACACATCTGTGAGCACAGGGACAGGACACGGGACAGCAGGGGACACACGTCTGTGAGCACAGGGACAGGACGGGGACAGCAGGGGACACACGTCTGTGAGCACAGGGACAGGACGGGGACAGCAGGGGACACACGTCTGTGAGCACAGGGACAGGACACGGGACAGCAGGGAACACCCATCTCTGAGCACAGGGACAGGACAGGGGACAGCAGGGGACACCCATCTCTGAGCACAGGGACAGGACAGGGGACAGCAGGGGACACCCATCTCTGAGCACAGGGACAGGACAGGGGACAGCAGGGGACGCACATCTGTGAGCACAGGGACAGGACAGGGGACAGCAGGGGACGCACGTCTGTGAGCACCAGGACAGGACAGGGGACAGCAGGGGACGCCCATCTCTGAGCACAGGGACAGGACAGGGGACAGCAGGGGACGCACGTCTGTGAGCACAGGGACAGGACAGGGGACAGCAGGGGATGCACACCTACTGTGAGCACAGGGACAGGACAGGGGACAGCAGGGGACACCCATCTGTGAACGGCCACATGTACAGGGGCTGCCTACATCAGGGATCCCCTGTGAAGCACAATGAGATGGAGACAGGACCACGTGACTCACATTCTGACTTCAGGGTGAACGCGGCCTGGGCAAGTGTGTCAAAGAACAAACCGTGTGAGTCAGGCCGGGACATGAGCATGTGCCCACCCCCATGGAAACATCACCTGCCAGTGTCCCCCTGGGATCGCTAACTCCACAGAGGTGTCCACAGGGACCAGCGCACCCCGAGACACACACCAGGAGAGAGCATTTTACGAGGGCCAAAGGGTATGTGCGGACCCAGTGCAAGTGGACACCAGTCCCTGATGGCATCACAAGGCCCCGCACCCCACGCGTGCTCTTGGGGTCTCTGGGCAGTGCCAGGGGTGCTTCCTGAGCATCCACTGCAAACACGCGTGGCCACAGTCACAAGCCAGAATCGGAGAAGCCAAGAAACGGGGCGGGGCTGCGGGAGTTCAAGTCGGAGAGGGCAGCGCAGCACGCAGTGTCCCATGGGACCAGTCTCCACGTGTCCAGGGAGGGGGCCGCCAACCACGCGGAGCAACAGCTCCGCATCACGCAGCACTGGGAGGACCCTCCCAGACCCCCAGGAACAACCGCACCCTGCCGGCCAGACCCCTCCCCATTCCCTTGGCAGGCCGTGCGTCCACCCTAGTCAGGTGGACACAGCTCCTGGACACTCCTTCACAGGCTTCTACCACCCTTAAGACAAAGCTGGGGCTCCTCATAGCTTGGCTGGCCGGGGCCTGGCCACTGCACTGCCCCATCCCACACCAGCAGGCTCAGGGACCCGCACACACACGCGTGCCCACTCAGAGCAGGCAGAGGCTGACCCGCCTCATCCCGGGTAACGCCTTTCTCAGCCCCTTTTCAGTCCCCTGGGTTGCAGACAGACAGATGGGTGAACAGAGGCCAGCATGTGGCTGAGGCCAGACAGACCACCAGGAATCAAAGCCCAGTTGTGGCACTAACTCGGGTCAGCCCTGTGACACTGAGACGCATCTTCCTGGTGTCTCGTTCCTCAATCCCTATCTTCATATTTAAGACATAAATGACCCGGACACGCGGTACTTCTGTGTGGCTTAAACAGTCACTGGCAACACAGCTGAGTGACGATCAGTAACTGTCAAATGAAGGAATGAAGGGGGCCAGCGCTGTGGCGTAGCGGGTAAAGCTGCCACCTACAGTGCCGGCATCCCATATGGACACTGGTTCAAGTCCCAGCTACTCCACTACACCAGGGCTTTAAGGACACAACGGGTGATTTGATAAAAGTTCTCGGGGGTTGGCACTACGGTGCAGCAGGTTAGGCCATGGCCTGCAGTGCCGGCATCCCATGTGAGTGCCGGCTTGAGTCCCGGCTGCTCCACTTCTGACCCAGCTCCCTGCTAATGCGCCTGGGAAAGCAGCGGAAGATGGCCCAAGTGCACCCACGTGGGAGACCCGGAAGAAACTCCTGACTTCAGCCAGGCCCAGCCCCAGCCGTTGTAGCCATTTGGGGAGTGAACCCAGTGGATGGAAGACCCACTCTCACTCTCTCTCTCTAACTATGCCTTTCAAGTAAATAAATGAAACGTTTTTAAAAATAAATAAATAAAAAGTTCTCTCGCCAACGGCTATAATCCTCTGCAACAGCCACAGCCAAACCATTCCAGCTCACAAGCCCTTCACAACAGACCTGACTCCGGGTGGGTCCTAGAGCCTGCTGCTTCTGCTGAGACCGGGCCTAGGCCACAGGGACAGACTGGTGTCACCACCACCGCCGCGTGCGTATCGCTCTCTGTCGCTATGAATTCGGCAGCTTCTTCACCAAGTCAGCTTAAAAGGAAGGAACCAACCCACCGGCCCTTGCTGACGGAACACGGTGGAAGGCGGCGCGCCCCTCCCCGCCCTGGGGACCCTGGCTCTGTCGGTCACCTCCGGTCCCCGAAGGAAAGCGGGAAGACAGAAAAACCCTGTGATAAACACACACAGCCCGGCTGGAAGGCAGCTCCGACTCTCCGCGGCGCAGGGGCGGACCCCAGGGAAAGCTGGCCAGGGGTCCACGGGGCCTTCCCGGCTCTGCTGTCCTGCCACGCCTGGCCAGCTGCACGGGGCGCCCACACCTGCGATGCCTGCCCCCACAGCCCCGCAGCCCCACAGCCCTGGGGCTCGCTCCACCAGAATCTCACCCCGGAAGAGGAAGCGGCGCCAGTCTCCACACCCCACGGACACTCGCTCAGGGCGGACAACGGGACGACGAGGCGCTGGGAACGGACGGCCACGTCCTGCTCCGAGGCGGCAGCCAGCGCCCGTCAGGCTACCGTTCCCTGATGAGGGCCACGAGCGACCCGTCACGACACTGGACGCCGACACCCACACCCTTGTGAGAACCCGGATGGCCACACTGTCATTAGAAAGCTCCGGAGAGATCCACGGCGCCGCTGCCGGCCGAGCAGCCTCGGGGCTCCCCGTCCACAACCACTGAACCCAAAGGCTCGCCCCGGCAAGCCTCCGAGGAGAGGCTGGGAGACTGGGCCGCCCCGCGTGGGCGCCGGCCCCGTGGGCGCCACTGCACACTGCGCCTGCTGTTCTCGGGGCACAATGTAGCCGGCCTCACTAGCTACCCTGTAGTACGCTGGCCACGAATTAAATGCATCATTAACATCCTCGACCAGCTTATCTGAGCCCTGAGACAAAAAGCCTATTCTTGGGACAAACAGGGAAATTCCAGGACGACAATGAGGAGTTCCTCTCCCGCAAACCACCCTGCACGGGAGCAACAATCGCAGGCTTAGAGTGGCCAGGCCGGGCCCGGACAGCCCGTGAAGCGAAGCATTCAGCCCGGGAGGGCGGGCGAGCGCTGGACGCCAGGCCTCACGGCTGCTGCTGGCCTCAGACCAATCAATAATCCATTATGAACGAGCTGCATTTCCAGGCTAGGAAGAAGAAATGAATAAAAGGCCACCAGAAGGAGCAGCCCCGCCCCGCCCCCACGCAGGGGACCAGGACACAAGCCCACTATGCCAGGGCGTGCCCGGCGGCAGCTCCAGGGCCCGCGGCAGGCCCAGCTCCAGTGAGCTCACAGGCATCCCCCCAAAACTCATCCTGGACTTGGGGCGCAACTAGCCTTTGTCCAGAGGTGAGGCGGCGGTGGCCAAGATGGCAAAACTCCCTGTCCTTCAGAGGCTCCCTGTAGGCCCTAAGCACTGCCCACCCCCACGGGTGACTCCAGGCAGGCGCCCACACGCGGGCCCCCGGCGTAAGCCGCTGTCCCCGCTCTAGGACATGAACTCTGTGATGACGGAACACTGGCTTCAGCCCCGCCGCCCAGGCCGCAGCCACTGCTCACTGTCCCCCGGGACGCATGCTGGCCTGCACGGGACTCTGGACACAGGCTATCTTTAATGAAGCTCTGAGCCACCACGCAAGGAAAGCCCTGG